CCGCGTCCGCTTCAGCTTTCCTTGTCAGCTCCTTGGCCCCCTCAATCTGGGCATCCTTAGCCTTCATGATCTGCTCCTGCTCCTTCAAGACGTCCTCCCGCACCTCCGCCTTTACCCCTTCGCGGCCCTCTTTGAGTTGATCCTCCAGCTTCAACACCTGAGTTTTGGCGTCCAGCAAGTTACTCTCCAGGCGGTCATTTTCCAGCATGATCTGGTTCAAACCAAACTGGGTCTGCACAAAGAAAAGAATTAACACAAGAACAACGGGGAGAAAGAATGAAGTGATCATCTCGTCATACCGCAAAGAATATCCGCGAAGTAGCGGCTGCCAGACGCTTCGTGTCGGACGCCAACACGGGAGTTCCAGGAGTGGGGGTGAAGTCGATGGGGACCGCCAAACCTTCAGAGATAACGTGCATAGCACGTTTGGCGGCCGCGGGATATAGGGACGCTTGCGATGAAAAAGAGACAGAAGTGTCGACGGTTGTCCTTTTCGGTCTCTTAGGCGCAATATATGCGTCTATTGGAGTGGACTTCTCAACAAGCACTCCCTTCAACCGGGGCTCCCCCGCGACCGCCCTCAAATCCTTTGAGATAGTGATGTCGAGAGCCCGCTTGACGGAATTCCTCGTCGGAGCAGGCTCAGAGAGCTTCAGAACACCAGATTGGCTGGCCACAAGCTGCTTCTGAGACGGGGGAAGCTGGGAAACCGCCGTGGCAGGACGAGCAACCGCGACAATAGGAGAAGCAGGGGCATTGGCTCCAGGCTTAGGCGGTCGGGCAGAGGAGGCATACCGCCGCGTACCTGTGGAATAAGCCAAGTTAAAAGCAAAAACCATGAGAAACGCGCTCGGCACGAAAGGTAAAGCAACTACCATGAAAATTCCGAATAATATCCAGTGCATTATCATCCCCCTTCGGGGGGAGACGAATTTGAAGAGCATTCATGAGCCGCTTTAGTAAGGGTTTGACAGGACCAAGGCCGTCAGTATCAGTGTTCCAATCCTTCTTGTCTCCGAACGCAAAGCCAGTAGGCGGTTCAACCTCTCCAGAATACCACTTATCCGCGGGGCGAGCAAAGAAATATTCTTTGACCCAAGTGGAATCCAACTTCGGCGCCCCGCTGACGATGCCAACCCGCGACTCTCGACGCTAACAAGACCAGCAATTTTCGGAGCCCCTCATCTTGTACAACTGACGAAACGCGTCAAAAGAAGGCGTCTCGCCAATCTTTGCACAAGCAGCCCTAAAGGCGATCGAGTGAAAAATTATGCCAGGAGACAAGCGCCCCAGCGTGCAGTTCAGAAAAAGGAGCGCCCGGGTGAGGATGGGGTCGATAGGAAAGTTAGACCCATCCGAAGATGTTGCACGTGTATGGGAATCCAACCGCCCGAACAAGAACCCGATCGTCCAGCAGGAGAAGGAGCCGCATAATCCCAATTGGTAGGAAGGTTGTGCGTCTTCAGCTGTCGAAGAACTTGTTTAGGGTTGTACGCGGCCTCATTAGGCGGCCCTTGTTCGTATGCGCTTGAGGGTACGGGCTCTCCTTCCCACATGTCCTCATGCAGCCGGACGCGGTATGTAGTGTCACGGATAACCTGGAAAGCGCCCACCGGCAAAGCGTCGGATATAGTCAACGACGGGGACAACTCCCTCCCTTCGTCCTCTGGGCGGTTCGCGGGGCCACCATCAGAGGGAAGGAGCAACGTCGTATTATTAGGCGGCTCACTCTCCGCTTCGGAATAGTCAAAGTCCTCCAGGTTGTCTCCAACCAAGGAAGACGCTCCACGCCGTCCGCCCGACGTTCCCGCGTCAGGAGCCATATCCAGTTCTACCCCTAAAATGTCATAACGAAGACCGTCTGCGTGTGAAGTCAATTCTGAATCCTATTCCTACGAATAAACCGCACAATATAGAGGGTCAAGAATAGTACCTGGGATCGCTTGACGGCTACCAGAGGGCGGTCCTCTGGATCCACCCCCAGACTTTGAAGATGACCGGGGAGCGCTGCCGCCGGCACTGGAAGTGCGAGTGTCGCCGGAAACAGTAACTGTAAGGTCACTGGAGGTTGTGACGGTGACGACGTCGTCGGAAAGATTCTGATTTTGGCTATCGGAGTGACTGGTACTTTGTGATTCGATCGCCATTTGTCTCCGAAGCTTCATTTTCGCTCGTTTCTGACGTCGTCAGAGTTTAGCAAGGAAGATTGCTCTCGGCGGAGACAAGGAAGAGTTGTCTCGAAGATAGGAGGAGAGGGAAAAACGAGAGCACCGAGCAATTTTGGCGAGAAGATCAGAAGAAGAAGCAAAATATGCGACGAGGAAAAGTGAGGGGAAAAAGGAAGAAGCGAGTATAAATATGCGAAGAGGGGGGCAGCGAAGCGACGGTTGAGTGACCTAGGGCAAACCCTACCCTAGGAAATTCAAAAGTCGGGCAGATGATTGGACATAAAGTGCCCGTTTTCAGAGCACGAAGGCCGAGGCCAGACACGTGGCGCGGCGTATGAGCGGTGTGATGAGACGTGGAAGACCAATCGACAAGCGGCTTTCGATGGGCACAAACGGTAACAAAGTCAGTGGACACCATGGACGGGAGTCGCATAAAATGCAAGCAGTATAATCATGCGACCAAAAATAGGGGTGGATAGCGCAGTCGCTTATAATTACAGTCAAGACGCAATACTGGGAACCGCATAGAATGCAAACGACGCAATCAAGCGCCCTTATGGACGACAAGTGCTCGAAATCCTTCGGATCGATGCCCAACGAAGCACGTGGCGACCAAAATGAGGGTGGACAGCGCAGTTGCTCATGCTTCAACCGAGACACGAGGTTGTGAATAGCATAGACATTAGGCAGGACAATCGAACGGCTGGTGGACAGCGCAAGTGTCTAACAAGCGGGAAGAATCAGAAGTATAGGAGACGAGATTATCAGAAAATCACGGATCTGCGGCGGCCAGGGGGCAAAAGGGTAGACAGCGGCTAATGCAAGGACCGCTCAGCTATCGAATAACATAACAGTAGCTGCCAAAATCCTTAGCTTTTCACGACTAAGGGGCAATTGTTGGGCCATAGCTGAGCGGCATTGGGCTTGGAGGCCCAAGGTGTAAGGCCCGTTCAAAAGGCCCAGGAGAGTGCATCTGGGAGAACGTAGCGCATGGGGAACAGAGAAAGGAAGGCGGCCATACTAGGACAAGACAGGTACTAGGACGCCTGACACAAAGAGCCGTTACGGGCAGAATGGGAGATCCTCCGAGGATACTCACCTCGAACACTGCAGGACTAAGCATTAATTGCCGCCGTAGGCGGTCTAGATAAAGCAGAGCCTGATCTAGGACGCCTGACATGGCATTTAATGCTCAAAGTCCAGCCCAAACCACTATAAATACATTCCTATCTGCATTGATGGTAAACCAACTACTCTCTCTCTCTAAAGATTACAAAACCTTATATTCCCTCTCTAACTTAAGCATCGGAGGGTGTCCGGGGTGACCGCCCACGGACCCTTATTTTGCAGGAGTTTGGAGTCCCCCATCATCTGGAACAGACGCCTTGCTCGCTTCCACAAACCGCCTAGAACATTCTAGGCTCAAACACTAAACCTCTAGAATTGCACTTCTTACTAGAATTTTGTTCATTGGTTTCTCGTAAAAGCCAATTGGCTTCTTAATCCGGTGAGATTCGGATTCAGACAAAAGTGGACTGTTGCTTTTATCTGGTACTTTATTAGACAACTAATAAGAATGCATAATGCCAAGAAGGTAAACCATAATGGATAATCATTATGTATTATATACAAATTAGAAATTACTCTTTTCTCTTCGAAGTTCAAGCCACCGACATGCAGCTATAGCTCGTCGGTGGTGCGGGAATAGCACAAGGGCTTCAGCCATAGGTGGCAATTAGGATCCAAATTCATAAATCCAATCAAATCCATCCACCAAATTATCCACCTAATTCAATCCATTTAAATCCAATCCATTTGATCCAAATCCAATTGGATTGGTGGATTCATGGATCAATCCATGTATCCAAATGACAAATTATGATTTGGTACCTATATTTTTTTATATTTTACATTTTGGTACCTAAAATTTTTCATTATGACATTTTAGTACCAAAACTTTTCAAATTTTACATTTTGGTCCAAGCCTTGAATGTCATTTGGATTCATAGATCAATCCACCAATCCATTTGATCCATGGATCCACCAATCCAATCCACGAATTTGATCCAATTGCCACCTCTAGCTTCAGCAATCAGTTGGCACTAGTAGGGGTGTTCAAACGGTGTGGTTGCCATGGTAACCATTTTAACCAGTACTATTTGGATAATTTGGTTTGGTTAATTTGGATAATTGGTTTGGTTTGGTTAAAGTTTTTAACTTGTTTGGTTTCAGACACTCCTAACCAGCCAAACCAAATTAATCAGATAAATAATTAGTCATATATATAATGTATACACATACTTAATACTTTGAATAACCACTCAAGAGTTAAAACGTTCATCACTTTTAGACATAAAATATAAAGCTTGATATTGTTCCATAATGTATATTTGTATATGTAGAGTGTAGACCACAACATATGAACGCCTAATTTAGATAAATCTCATACATTATGTTGGATGAAAACTTGAAAGCAAGGTCTGAAAACTGCTAAAAGACTAAGCCAATTCAAACAAACACAAAAATTCATTAACCCATACCATTGTGATAAATTTTTGTTAGGTGAATACTTCTACACTAACCGTAAGATAATTGTCTTAGTTGCATGTATTTATGCTAAGGGTCAACTATAACCCTGTATTGTTTGTTATGTTTTATTCATTATATAAATGGTGATTTGATAAATTAACCGAAATTTTCTCACTTAATGATAATGTGATTTTATATTGGTTAATCTGGTTAATCAATTAACCAAACCGATTAAATTTTAATTTGGTTAATTTGGTTGTTGTATTAGTTTGGACGGTTTGATTATGATATTGTATTTCATGTTAATGAAATTTAGCCTTATTTGATTTGGTAATAACTATGGTAACCATTTGGCCATATCAGCTAAAGCTCAAAAAGAAATATAGGTCACAGAATAAGACAGAGCAACAAACGGAAGAATAAGAAAGGAACAGCGTGAATAAAACTGTAGGGGGGGATTTGGATTTACTTCCATACTTCATGTAATGAGGAATATATGACTCACTGTCTACAACATCAGAGGCAGTAGATAGAACAAAAGAAGAGACAAGCGGTAAACTGACAGAGGGCATGACACTTTGAAATGAGAGTAGTTCATGTAACTGAAAGCCCATTCTTTTCCCAAGGCAGCATCAAGAGATATACAAATTGATCCATCCACACAATAACTCAATAAGAAGAATGTCTAGCACGAAATTTCTCTGGTTTTTAGTTTTTTTCTTATACGTACAAGGCGTGGTTGATTGCTCATGAGTCATGATGTCGCCACCATGCCATCATCGATGTCTGTGTTGCCGCGGCTACTAGGTAAAAGGGGGGCCAAGCTCAGCCAGATTTGAAGAGCAAGACTGCCTTCTGGTCCAAGTAGAAATAGACAAAGTGATTCGTCTCGTGGGTTACGTATGAGCCTGTGGCGTGGGATTGGAGAAGGGAAAAGAAAACAGATGACTAGTGAGCATTGATCCAAGAACTGAAAAGAGTTGGGAGCTTAATCCACAGCAATACAGTCAAGGAAGGAGTACACAGGTAACTGTTAATGCAATGAGCAAAAGAGGCGAAACATAGCGGAAGAATCTGTCGACTTACTCGTTACCCTACCAGGACATCTTGATAGAGCACTAGTCACTATAGACATCCTTCTTTTAATGGTTCAAGCACATAAATGGAAAAGACAGTACTTCACAGAATGGGTTTGAATTATGCAGGATTTTGTAATTACAATCACATCTATAACAAACCTACAAATACAGAAATCGTTGCCGTCACCTAAAACAAAAGCAGCAGACAACAGTAGCTGCTGATACTGATTATTGATTTAGAGCAGCACTATTGATGCCAAAAATTTGGACCGAGAATCGATTCCAGTTATTTTGGAACTGTTGAAAAGAAAAAATCTAAGCCTACTCTAAACATGTAAAACATAAGCATTTTAGTTGGACATAAAGCATTTTGCACAATGTCCAGTCTTCACAGAGGCAGAAGGTGTTTACAATAAAACAGAAGATAAACTATATCTATACTTGACTTCCTTTCGGGATACTATGCTGGGAACAATGTTTTATTATATCACACTTATGAGCCCCTTGACATATTGAGTGGAAACAGTACAGAGGTTTCCATCATGTTACGGATCAAGTAATTGTGTCTAAACCAATGTTAGGGTTTCCTGCCAGATCCCAGATGCAATGTGGACATACAAAGAGCTGACATAACAACTATATCCACACAAAGTCAAGGAAAGCTAACATCGTTACAGTCTCGGACAACAGATGTCTACATAGAGTGCCCCCGCGAGACATTCACTTGAACCATTTCATCAGTCAATGGAACATAACTTGTGCAGAAAACCATTCACTATAGCTTGCAGCGGCAAACCTAACTGTGCCACAGAGCAATTTGATATCCCTTCAATAACTAAAACCAAAAGTGCTCATCACATCTACTTAAACTATCAACTTCATGTCCTTCAATAATCACATTAGCGGGAGGAGAGCAAAATACTTGCCACTGAAACTATCACAACCTGAGTCACAAATCGTTTTGCAACCTAATTAAGCTCGATTTCGGCAGCCTATACTTGGTAGCACTAACTACATCAGGAAGCAGCCACTATCGAATTCATTGTCACCACAAACTGAAACGGATTTTTGTTTGGAATTCACAAGAAACTTATTCAGAATCGCTCCATGAAAAAAGGAATACAAGTTGATTTCGCAAATAAGAAGCCTGGATCTATTACTGTTCCGACTCGAGGAAGAACCAAAAAAGCACTCACAATAGCACAAAATCATTCACAGGACACCAATTCCCACCAAAATCCAAAAGGAACGACCAAATCTGAAGCATATCTCCAGGAAAACAATAAAGCAAAGCGGGGAAATCAGATTAGGATTACCGAAATTCCGGCCGACGATACAATGCCAAGTAGGTCCATGCTTCCGGTCGAACTCCTTCTTTATGTACTCCGCCACATCCTTCTCCACATTCAGCTTCTCAAACGCCTGATCGCAAAAGCGCTCAGAAGAAAGCAAAACATGAACAAAAAGAAAGCAGTCGAAATTGAAGCAATCATGAGAGCGATAGAGATAGGTAAAGAGCTCTCACGGAGATGGCAATCTCCACAGCCTCTTTCTGCATGTCCTCCTTCATGTCGGCGTTCTTGATGACGATTTTCTTGCCGACGGTGGGAGCAGCGGCGGGGTCGACCGTAGCGAGTCTCCGATCATCGGAGCCGGGCTTCCCTGGTAGATTTCCGGAGATGATTCGCTTGGCGTCGTCGGAACTGTTCATTTCCTCGTCAATTAGATTCCTCTTCGTTTCTACTGAAGCTTTCGTGCTGTGATTTTTCGGCAGAGAGCGCGAGAGGGAGCTGAGAGCACTTTCTTCAGCTCTCTCTCACTCGAGTGTAGAGGAAACAAAAAGGAGAAACAGCAAGTCTGTCCAGTCCAGCCTTTTTCTCTTTTTTCTCTCTCTCTACTTTTCTCACTATTGAAATCCGAATTCAGTTCACCAAAAAATAAAATAAATTCGAAATTCGAGACTTTTCAAAGTCTAGGCCCAAGTCCACAAATGACCCAGATGGGCTTTTGCTTAGTAACTTCCTACGTATACGACCGAGTTATCAGTCTCGGCATTTCCGAAATCCAGGCCCAAGTTGGATTTATACCTATTCTGATTCCGACGCGGTACGACAGGGAAGGAGATACCGCACAATTGCCCTCCGATTAGAGATGGCAATTTTGACCTGACCGGTTTTACCCAACTTGTTTGGCCTGTTTTGAGGCGGGTTGGGGCGGGCATGGGTACTCTCATTACCTGACCTGCCCTGACCCGTCCCATTCTCGACCCGTTCTTACCTAAATTACATGTAATATTAGTCAAATTACTTAGGATTTTCCTTTTATTACATCATATTTTAGCTATAAGAAAGTTGTAAATTAGTGAAAACCTCAATTTCTCCAATAATTTAACTACATTTATCATAATATGGTTTGTTTTCTTGGTTTTATAATGAAATGAACGAATATTTGTAATGTTTTTCATATAAATAGCATACTCATTGGGTCGACCTGCCCCGACCCGCGAGGCCGCGACCCATGATAAATTACCCGACCTGCCACGGGGCGGGTATGGGTAGCATGATACCCGCCCCCGACCTTCCCCATTGTCATTCCTACCTCCGATCCCTCGCCTCTGTTCCCTCAGCCGTCATCGGATACCAGATCAGACTCTGGCTTCGCTTGTCGAGCGTCATAATCATGAAGCGGAGTATATGGTGTTGATAGAAGCTGATAAAGAGAGAATATTCTTGAAGGAGCTTATTAGTGATCTAGGATTACATTGTGATTAAGTTGAGATAGTTTGAATGCAATATGTTTGTCTGATGATTAAGTTCATCATAACCAGACTAAACACATAGATGTGATGTATCATTTCTTAAGAGCATAGATGTTGAGATGACAAGTTCCACCACACACTAGACTTGTTGAATGTTCTTAGGTCGATGCCCTTAGGGGCATTCTATGACAGGAGGATAGGCTGGGTACATTCGGTGTTTGAGGGAGAATTCAAGTCAAAATGGAGATTTATTTAACTATTTTGGATTTGGTCTATATTTTCCCCCATGTTGAATTAGGTTAGGTCATCTACAGAAAGCAATATATATATATAGTGAAACTGCTCTCTCCTGTTTGTGAATGTAGTTAACACACACCATATTGGTGGACATGAACCATGTAAATCAATATACTTTTTAGTTTTTACTTTGTTGATTGTCAGTTTTTCAATCTGTTCGAACATATAATGTGAGCATGCTAAGATGTGAGAGTGTAGAGCCGAGTGAGAGGAGTAGGGTGAGCAGTGGATGGGTTTATGCGGATTTGGATGGATTTGGACCCACCCATTACGTGATGGATGAAGAAGAAAATGACCCACACCCACCCAACATGTACTTGTGGGTGGGTTGGGTTGGGTTGTGTGATTGCGGATGGTGTGCGGTTGGGTGAATTTGGTGGGTTTATAACATATATTCCAAAATTTAGTTCACCCGCACCCACCCAAACCTTTGTAGGTCACTTATTTTAGAACCCACATCCACCCATATGAACCACCCACAACATTATGGCTGGGTCATTTGTGAGTGGTTTTGGGTGGATTGGTGGGTTCAACCACCCAATGCTCACCCAGTCACCCATAGGAGTAGGAGAGCAAGTAAGAATAGGGCCTACCTCGTTGGTTGAGTTGCACAATCTCCACTTCAGTCAACGACTGTAGTTCTCCGTCGCTTGATTGGCTTGTCGTCGCAGCAGAGGAGACAACTACAATTGCCCGGGATCGTCGGTTCTTTGGACTATTGAGGCGTTTGGTCAAGCTTGTTGATAGGGAAAAAGCGTATGCCTTAATCCTATCTCGTAGTAAACCGGAAAGTCCGGGTATCGTCTCTCAGGGACTGGTACAACCTTAAGATTTACCGATTTAATAGAGCAAACTATAGGTGAAAATGATTTAATGAGATTATTAACTACTAGCAAAATTAACTAAACAAGCAAATTAAAGTGTCGGGTTTAAATCAATGGGAGAAAGCTCTGGGAGAAACACCGGAATTCACTACCTATCATATCCAAATTAATTCACATATTCCAATCAATTTAATCCAACTCTCTACAGCCAGGATATCACTACTGTGCTAGCTATCCCTGTCGGGAATTACTACGTACTAAACAATTAAATCAAATCCTACAGTCGAAGCTCAATGAGTTAATTATTTAGCCCGAAGATCGATATCCTATTTAAGACCGCATAGCACCTTATTTAATCCACTGTCGCTTCGATAAGTTACTATGTCACATGAAATAGGTTCAATTAATAGGGTTTCACTGTCGCTAATAACCTAATTAACTACGATTCATTGTATTGATGGCCAGTCAACACAAAGCATTAAGTAATTTCATGCAATAGAGATCGGAAGAAAAGAAATACGAATCAATCCATCAAATATAGAAATAGGTACATCCTATGGTGTTTCCCCCAGAAATTGGGGTTTAGTTCATAACAAAATCAAAAGATATAATCATGTTCTTAATTATCATGTCACGAATCAAAGAAAAAACAAAAATTTTCTTCCCTGCCCTGCACTCGATCGCCCTCCAAGCGCTGCTGCTTCAATTATTCCGCCTCCAAAAATTGGCTGCTTCTCCGCGATCCCTGGCTTGCGTTGCCTTTCTTCTTCTTTCCCCGCTAACAAGCTGCTGCTTTTTACCAAAGAGGATTTCGTTCCCCCAGCTCCAATAAAGTGTCGCCGCCCGCTATTATCTCCTACTGCGCCTCCTTTCTATTCCCTTTTCCAAAGTTCGGCCCTCACAAGAATTCCGCCAACAACCACCAAATCAAAAGTTGCCTCTCCAATTCGCTGCTGCTCCCCTGCTTTCCTACGAGTTCCGCCCAGCCCAAAAAACAAAAGTTCTCCTGCCGTCCAATTCCATAATTCCGCCCAGGCCCTAGGCCCAAAATGAATTTCAAGGCCGCTCATTAGTTGATTCCATCAATTGGGCTTTGGCCCAATTACTTGTTGTGGAAGAAATATGGATCCAATTCCTCCCGCCATCTCTGCTTCGGAAGTTCTAGTGCTGCCATTTTATCTATCTTTTCACCTAAACACACACCAAAACTCCAACACAAAATGGTAATGGCTTTTCAACCATTATGGATTAATTCTCTCTAAAATAGCACCAATCGGCTTAAACATACCATGAGATAGACACATAAAGCTCCCGAATCCGATATATTAAAGCCGATTATCACAACCCCACACTCAATTGTTGCTTGTCCCTAAGCAACGACTCAAACAACACAAATACATAACCATCCAAAACAATGACACACCACAGACTCACTAATCAAACACTCAAAGCAAAACACAAAATTTTCCTTATACTCTTGTTGTAATCAATAGTTTCTTTCTCAACGGACAAGTTGTGCTTTCATGGTCATACCTTTCACCCCACACTCAAGTTCTTTGCAACCATTACCATTGACTGACTCAAATCCATCAAAAACTCAAATAGCAACACTCAATTTAGATCGTCAGTAGTGGGTGATTAACAACTTATGGTGCAACAATTATTAGGAGAATCTAACCACATCAGTGAGGTACATATCTCGTGAGGACAATCTGGCTTACTCACACCAATCATAAGCAATTAATTAAGCATGAGAGTCTCAAAAACTAATGGGGGAAGCCTTTCGCAAACATGATTTCAACTTTAAGCACATCAATACCTTTTATGACAAGGAGAGACTTTCTCTCTTTCTGATTTTGCTTGCCGAGTGGTCGTATTTAGTACAAGTGGGATTTGTTTCTTACTACCGGTGACCGAGCAAGAGCAATTTATGCTGCTTAGCACTCGCATAAGGCTTCTTTTAACTTCTTTTCCTCGGTCCGTGTGGAGGGTCATTGCATCCTCTAATGGCACTTCACTCAACTGGGGATCGTACTTGATAAGCACCATCGTACGATCGCGAACCGATTCTCAATTGAATCTTTCCTCATCCCCATGTGCAATGAGTGATTGCCTCACACGATTTTGGCATTTTTACCCACACTTTAATTGTTATGGCAACTTTCTTATATTTTACTTGTCAGGCAGTGTTTTCTTTTATAAAGATACAGTTCACCCCATCATAAAACATTCAAAACAGAGAGACTCGTTGCAAAATCAAAAGCTCACAATTGATGCAAGTAAGCACGGTATCCAAACATATCGAATGGTCAATGTTCTCCACCTAACTACTTCACCAAAAGTCATTACACTATCCTCACAAAAGAGAATGTTGCTAAAAGAGTTTGCTCATTCAAAGCATATCAAGCCAGTCAAAACATTCAAGCTCATTGTGAAGAACTATGCAATTCAACACTAGTGGGGTGATTTTGATGATTTCATTCAAGCACAAACTCATTTTCAAGGCATCACAGTCATTTACATCATGTTACCACAAGAGTACAAGGTTTTGTTTTTCATTTTTTTCATTTTTAGGTGTTTTTTAGCCATTAACTTTGCACAGACAGCCTGCTTTTTACACAATCAAACTGCATGCAGTTTGGCTGTGCTCAACCTAATGGCAAAATTTTATTTTATTTTATTTTGGATTTTTTTTACCACATGCAACAGGGACAAACAACACTAAGACTCACCACCCCACATTCGGGATGGAACATTGTCCCTAATGTTCAACTCTTAATCTAAACATGCACGGGTTTGACACAACTAAAAAGAAAAATAAAGAAAAGAAAACTTACCTTGGGTTGCCTCCCAAGAAGCGCTTGTTTAACGTCCTCAGCCTGACGTTCATGGAGCTTTCAACCAATGGGTATGGAAAGGTATCCAGCATACCCTCCCGAGCAATGATAGAACGCATAACCTCCATCCAACATATGAGTCACCTCAGCAGGGCCAGGTGTGCGGAAATTTGGTATGACCTTCTTAGTCGGCATGTTGGACCCTTTAGTGAGGCGTAGGTGGTATTGCAGTGCCTCAAGCAAGTACTCTTCCTGTTTCAATGTCAGTGAAGAAGGAATAATGACAGGAAGATTGAAATCCTTACCCAAATATCTATACTTGAGGTGATCTGCCAAGGA